AGGATAGTCTATGTTGCCCTTTTAATCATGCTTATTTATTGTTACTGCTTCTTTTTCTTTCAAAGGAAATACATAAAAATTAACATGCACGTCTTGCACTGTTGCCCTGGAAATTGTATGCATTTTCATATCACCAAGTATATTGGGGACTTCTCACTACTCAGAATTAATATGAATAGCCATAATATCCCACCAGTCTTTTGTGGGCTTTTACTTGTATTTAATATCTTTTGTTAGATTAGCTAAAAGTCGGAAATTAAGAAGTACAATTGCATCTAAATTTAACTTCCTCTTTGCTGATACCTGCCTCTGCCACCACCCAGTTAGGATAGTTAAGTAAGAATGCCAAAAGAAAAACTCTGATGAGTAGGAAGAAGAGTCTGCAGTTTTGCTGGAGTACTCAAAAAAACAGATAACTGAATTTCTTCAGGTGTCTGAGTGTTGGAAGTCTTGCTTGAACTAGAGATTTTTCCCCATACTCTCCACACGTGGTGGCAGACTTACACATAATGCCCTGGGCACATTCCAGGATTTTTGTCTATGCACATCAGACTGGCATTATTGACAAAGTGTTAAAAAGAAGCCCAAATATTAGAAGCTTGCTAATATGACATTTCTGAGTCAGTTGCTGCATGAATTTGGAGTCTTTCTTGAAGATGCCTTTACCAACCTTTATATGCCATTGAAATCTCATAAGAGCACCAGTAGAGCTTTTGCAATTCAGCAAACATAAAAGAGATAGGCCAAAATAGAGGAGATTGGTAAAAATGCAGAACAGTGCAGTAGAGAAAGCTGCTTAAAAGCTGAAGATGAAATGTAGAAGCAGCATGGATGTTGCTCCAGAGAGTATCCAGGTGTGGAGGTGAATGACAAGTGCAGTAAAAGCATTTTTCTTATTTGTAAAAATTGTTTTTTTAGAGGAATGCCTTTGAATTATGAAAGAAATGGTATCTTCAGCTTATAGCAACTCAAGAGTTTTTCAGGACAGAGTGTTCAGGACACTCAGTGAAGTAAAATCTAAGCAGAACTTTTCACAAAGCAGAAAAATTCCATTCATCTTTCATTAATGGATACCAAACAGGAGGACACTGATGTTAGGTAAAAATCTTCCCCTAAACCTCCAGTCGGTGAAGTTTTCAATAGCTAAAAGATACACAATTAATTAAATATGTGAAGTCTTAATGTTGGATTTTGCCATATAGAAGTGGATTGAATTAGATTGAGCTGGGTGCTGTCACATCAATGGATATTCTACCTGTATTTGCCAGTCAAATTCCAACGATTGTAAAATTTTGATAGACTGTAAATAATCAGATGTTTTATTTCTGTCTAAGGTGGGAGCTGTTCCCAAAGATGGTTGATGAGACAGGCTGGATAGGACATTGATAATATGTAGGGATGCAAAGAGAGACAGTGTCATGGTATGGCATCTATCCCACAAGACACTAATTAACTGGTCTTACTTAGGTCAATAGGCTACCTTTACTTAACTCAGAAAAGAAACGTATAAATTATGTATGTTTGAGAAATAACATTTCACACACTGCTTCTCCTTTGAGCATGTGAGAAACTGAATTTTCAGAAATAAAAGTTGATTAATTTTCCAAGTTCATTCAGTCTAAGCTTTTTTTGCTACTCATGATGCCAGCAATACTGCTAATTATTGCCATAATTAGAACAATAAAGTAAAACGTTTCTGTGCGCTAAGCCTAAATAGGCAACTAATCGCAGGCCTACATGATACTACCGGTAAAAATTTAAACTTTTCTTTCAGCCTGCCCTTTGCTGAAAATGTTATTGTAAGTTTTCCGACAATGACCCCTCTCAGTTGCTTTATTCAGCATCACTTGTTCTTCCTCCATTATTTTCTGTGGTATTCATTGAGATGCCATAGGAACAGTCAGCAACCACTAATACTTCACTGGAGCTGGATTTGCCAGGAAAAATTAACATATTCATCTTATAACAGTGGAGCAAAGTGACTCCCAGACAACAAAGCCAATGCAAAGAAAAGATGCCCTTCTTGCTCACCCTTCTGACCTTGTTGTTCAACCCTCTTCCTGACTGTAAGAGCGCAGTGGGATTCCAGAAGTTACCACAGATATCTAGTTTTCTGTCTGGGTTGTTGGTTCTTGAATTCTGTACAAAGGCATTTTTGAAAATAATAATTTGCCATTTGGCATTCCAAGAGTATGTTGCCAGAAAGCCGGTTCCTCTCTGTTACTGCCTGTACCCTGGGACAGCATAGCTCTACTTCTAAATGACTCTCCCCCCGCTTAGGGTCTTTATATCAACAACTTTGCCTTGTTATGTCTTATATAAAACAAAACAAAAATTGTTTCCTGACATCTGTCCAGCTGTGATTTTATTTTCTTTCCTTCCATGTACCATGCAGTTTATCATTCAAGAATACATAATTTAAAGTTATCAGAAAAAGTATGGAAAATATCCATAGTATAAATTCCAGAGGAAAATACATATTTGACTCAGAACTGTGTTTAAAAAATATAGCATTTCAGGCTTTAGAAAAACCCAACACACCAGCTACATAAAATTACTTTTGAGTTGGTACTCTTTCTGAGACGTTCATATTTAGGTGTATCATCTGATCATACTTGGCCTCTACTTTACTAATATTTGTCTAAACTGTTCAAAGGAGAATTGAAAGAATCAATTTTTGATCTAAGAAAAAGCACTGAGCAGAAAAGTAGATAACTTTATTAGAAAAAGGTTTCTAGATGCAGCTGTTAGTATATTTAAGCAACCTGAGAATTTTTTATTTATTTTTTTTTAAAGTACTGGAACAAGAGAAGCCAGATACTAAGCTTCACAGAATATTGTTAAAGGAAAAAATAGTCTTCTTGCATTGTGAGAAAGCAACCTCTAAGTAGAAAAAGAACCTCAGAGTACATCCTTAACAGGAAATATTTTTCACAAAACACTCGTGGAGCTGCATTCATAATGTTACATCCTTAATACAGTCCAAAGAAATACATCATAAAATATGTAACTTAAAGAATATATACTGAAGCTCAGAAAATGTTGGATTTTGACATTGGATATTTCTACTTTTTAATTCTGGGAGATTTTAACTTCAGATTTAAACCTGTATGAGATTATTTCTGACTTTTAAATATTTACAAACTGAATTACCATAAAAAATGTGTTTACTAGAACAAAGGAATATAAACTGCCACACACTGAGTAAAAATGTCTTAATTGACAAAGAAACCTGAGTACTAGTTCCAGTTATGTAAAGTCAATGAACTTCAATGAAAACTTTCTAGAATAGGTAAAAACTACCTTGGACTTGGAGTGATTCGTTCTGCTCTGATAATGCCTAGATACGTTAAGCCTATTATACCTGGCTTGGGAACCAATCATCCTAGTCAGGGGGTTACACAATCCCATAAAGTCCTGTAGGTCCCTAAAGCACTCTTCTTCTGGATAGGACGTATTTTTTTCTATGGCAACCTCTAGCAATCTGAAGGGCGATATAAACTTTTTAGGAGACACTTGAACTTGCTTTATCAAATTTGGTGTAAAACTAGGCTAGAAGGAAAGGAGCAGGTAGATAAATGGCTTTAGGACACCCTTCCATGCATACCTGCTGTGCTGCACTTAAGCATCTTTAGCAAAGCCACACAAGTGGGCCAGAAGTTTTAGATTACATAAATTGATGCTTATGGCTTATGAGGATCTGCAGACAGACTTCTAGTGAAATTCAGGAGAATCAGTGCAACAAAGGATTAGTGGTTTTTGTAGTTCTGTTAGTTTTCTTATACACAGGACATCTGATTTTGTTTTTACTGCTAATTTTTTGAGGAAGGATGCTTGACAGGGTAGCAGAGTGGAGTCTTTTGTGCTGGGCCAAAAGGAGAAGGACCTTAGAGCCCTGGTGAACAACAAATTATCCACAGGGCAGCAATGTGCCCTTGTGGCCAAAAAGGCCAATGGCATTCCAGGGTACATGAAGAACTGTGTGTCCAGCAGGTCGAGGAAGGTTCTCCTCCCCCTCTTCTCAGCCCTGGTGAGACTCCACCTTGAGGATTGTGTCCAGTTCAGGGCTCCCCAGCTCAAGAGGGACAGGGATCTACTTGAGAGAGTCCAAGCCTACGAGGATGATTAAGGGACTGGAACACCTGTCAAATGAGGAAAGCTTGAGAGACCTGGGGCTGTTTATTCTTGAGAAGATTGAGAAGAGATCTTATTAATGTGTATAAATATCAGAAGGATGGGTGCCAAGAAGGAGGGGAAAAATCTCTTTTCACTTGTGCTCTATGATAGGATATAGGGCAATGGATGCAAGCTAGGACACAGGAAGCTTCATCTCAACATGAGGAAAAACTTCTTTATTGTGAGGGTTACAGAGCACTGGAACAGGCTGCCCAGAGAGATTGTGGAGTCTCCTCTTTCAAGACCTGTCTGGATGCCTTTCTGAGTGGCCTGTCCTAGATTCTGTGTGGGTCCTGCTCTAGCAGGGCAGTTGGACTCGATCTCCAGACATCCCTTCCAATGCCTAACATTCTGTAATTCTGTGGGATTCTGTGATAATTAGAAAAAATTCTATGTTATATGCCATGACTGTAAATAAGCTTTTGTTAAGGAGAAAATGTAAAAAAACCTCCATAAAAATACTGTCTCTATCTGTGTTGACAACTATTTTCCAACAATATATTACCCCAAAACATTTTTTTCCATCCCACTAACACTTCAGAGACATGTTGATCATGGGATGGTATCATGGACACTTTGTTCTCTCACAATTCATAATGTTCAATGAGATAAAAAAATAATCTGAGGGGAAGAAACAACCATTTCAAATCAATCCTTGTAATGTGGTGGTGCTAAAAAGAGGTTTTTCTCTACAAAGCACATCCTCAGGATGAGAAAGAGGTTAACTAAGTAGGCTAAATTACGCTGCAATAGCAACAGAACATTCTTCTACTTCATTTTACTCCTTCAGAGACCAGTTTCTTTAAAAAGTAGAGCCGACTGACCTTGCAGGACAAGGATCCAGATTGCACTCTTGAAGCTTTGGCTTTGGCTTGATATTTTCAGGGTAATAGTGACAGTATTGATCTGCTACTACCCGGCTGCTTCTGAGATCAAAACATTCAGCAGATGTCAGTTGATAACCTGCAATAAACAGTGGAAGAAAAAAAAAACAACAAACCAAAACCAACAAAGGCTAAGGTTTCTTGGTCACCAAGACTCACACATACAGTTTCAGTTCAGAAGAAAAAGCTGCTGCTGGGGACATGTGCAAATGTCATTCCAAAGCAGGCCCAAATCCCTTCAGCCCTTATGTTTGGCAGCTGTAACATTAAATGTAGCAACATGGATATCAAAATGTACTTTAAGTACAGAGCCTGGTATGATGCTAAAAAATCTACAGGCTACTACCACTGTTGCTACATCCCTCCCTTCTCAGGTTTTTCCCACTTTGAAGGTCCAAATCTCAGTGCAGCATTTGGAACAGATGCTGTATGCAGTTGACCACTTTTGGAATGCAGTGGAAATTCATTACCTCCTCCACAGGATGCTGAACAAGGAAAAAAATCAGTTTCTCTCCATAGGTGAATGATAGGCTGATAGAAGATAAACTGAACTGAACTGTCAGCAGCACCAGCATAGTGAATCTGAAAAATATGTAACACCAAAAAGTGAATCTGACATAAATACTCTGAAGAAGCATTCTGCCACATGCCTTTTGTAGCTCTGTGACATCTTGCAGCTCCAAGAAACACCAGAGACACTTTGCAACAGGAAAATTAAATGCACAAAAAAAAGGTATAGTTTGCTGGCAAAATCTTGGCTGCAAAACAGTCAAGCAAATTTCTGGGCATAATCAGGGGCATATCTGGCTATTCTGAGACCATTTTCTGAAATAATTCACAATAAATTCATAGTTATTGCTACTTAATCATTTTATGGGGACAGAGGATAAGGACTGATCTTTATTTCATCAGAAGATCACCTACTATCATTTGCTGTCCCTGCCACATTGACATGTATTTTAGATCTTCAGTATTTTCCAAACACCTTCTGAGAACATGTATTCTATATTAGGTAGTTCAAAGTAAAATACAGGAGCCTATGCTGTGAGAAATGAAAAAGTATAAACATTCTAATGCAAGATGCTTTTGTTTTTGAAGGGAGGTCTTTTTTTGCTCTTGTGGTACTGTCATGTTTATAACACTGTCCTTCTGCTTACTTTATTTTGGCTGAAAAAATGCTCTTTTCAGTCATAAGTGTGGACTCTTTGCTGGAGCTAAGTGCATGCTTGGAAAACACTCTCTGGAGCATAGAAGTACTGCCAACTTTTAAGCCACCTGAGCTTTGCTATGCTTCCAGTACTTTGTTTACATGGGAAATCCATTCAGCACACAGAGTTTGCAGTGCAAGGAATGAAATAAATAGTGAGTCTTCCACGCCACTAAAGCAGCATCATTTGCACCTGGTCCAGAAAAAAATCAGTTCTGGTTGATAGCTGTGCTGACTAATACAGGTGTGGGGACTTCAATATCTTTGTAGGCTATGTCTTGTCTTTACCTTTTGGATGAACTGCTGGAAAGGGAAACACAACAGTGCTGCTTTTAAAAGCCTCTCCTACCGAATTATTTGTCCTAGCACATAAAGTTCTGGTGTTGCTTGCGCATCTCTCCATTAGCGTCATGATGCTATTGCAGGAGAGAAAATTGCCAAATCTCAACGAGAAAAGATGAACCCTTCTCCAAGTCAGTACTCCTGCTCTCAGGAGCAGCTCTCTGTGTTTTTTTTTTGTTCAGGTGTGGTTTTGTTTTGTTTTGTTTTGTTTGTTTGTTCATTTAATGAAGCCTAAAATTTTTCAGTGCTGCCTCCTTTTCCTTCTCCATGTTTCAAACCAGTTACTCTGTTTTGGAAACACCATTTTTCTATCTGCTTTTCCTTTTCTCTCTTTCCAAACAAAAAAATACCATCAAAGAGTAGACTGTGAAACAGAAGCAAAAATATGACAAATTGAGCTGAACAGCATAATCTCATTTTGTTTGTTTTGTTTTCTTATGTAGATGGACAGAAACATGATTAAAAAGAAAAATATATCTTGAAGAGAAGGAGGAAGGCAAAAATACTGCAGCATATATTGATGGCTGTAACAGATCTGGCCTATGGAGACCAAGGCTTCCCTTTTCTAATTAAACAGTGACGTAAATTCCCAATAGGGGAAAAAAACCCAAACAAACAAAAACCAAAAAACAGCCGTAGCAATTCAGCTTCTTCAGCAAATGGGAGGCCTTTTGCATGGATTAGTACCATGAGTTTCTGTGTCAGAAACAGGATATCTAATTCCGTCTGTCGGGACAGTTCATTAATGACATACTTCAGAATGGTCTTCTGGGTTCATGAAATAAGCATGCACTCCTGGGAAAAGTGTTCTATTGTGCTGGAAGCCATTTGGGGAGGTCTCTGATTTGAATGTGCAGAAAAAGCATTCACTGGGGAGAATTCTGCTTTGTTTTTAAAAGATCATCAGCGATTGCTAAAGTCAGATCTATTTAGCAGTATGATCTTCAGTGAATCATGAAGAACAGACCCAGAGATTGCACAGAGCCTACTATAAAAGGAAGGGAGGAAAAAGAGTTCATATAAAAAAAAGAATTAGAAAGACAGAAGAGTTCCTCTCCCTGCAGACTATTCCTGCATGTCTGCAGAATCGTGTCTGTTTTGACACAGAGAAAAGACAGATGTACTTCGTTTGAAGCTAATGTCAAAGTCACTCATATAGCCATAACAACAACATAGGTAGGAGAGAATTGCAATGAGCCACAGGCATGAGCTAAAATTATACAAACCAAGCAAATGAAAGAAGAGGACATAGTATATCTATCTATCTATCTATCTATCTATCTATCTATCTATCTATCTATCTATCTATCTATCTCTCTATCTATCTCTCTATCTATCTCTCTATCTCTCTATCTCTCTATCTCTCTATCTCTCTATCTCTCTATCTCTCTATCTCTCTATCTCTCTATCTATCTACCTATCTCTATTTATATATATATATATCTCTCTATCTCTCTATCTATCTATCTATATCTATTTATATATATATATAATTTATTAATTTTTTTTTTAAAAGCAGCTGTTGGAGTTTTGGCCTCTAAGCAGCCAACTTGACCCCATTCTCTCTATTCTCTTATTTCCCCCGTTGCAGGATTCCTGCACCTTCAGTCAGATTCGAACTCAATGTGACCCTAAGGAGGGAGTCACGGAGCCTCCGGAAAATTGCTCCATATTAAACAGGAGCGAGGAGAGGAGAAAGACAGACAGACAGACAGACAGCCGGCCGTGGAAGGGACGCGTCTATGTTGCATATCCGCACAAAGTACAGGACATGCCCGAGAGCAGCTTCAAGCACAGCTTGAAAAAGGAACAGACCTTTCTCGGAATAAAAAAAAAACCACAACAGTATTTTTTTTTTTCCCAAAGAGCGCGGGGAGGGAGTTTTAACAATTAAAAAAAAAACCAGAAAACAACAAAAAAACACCAACCACAAAACCAACCCAGGACCCAAATGATAAATAATTCACACGGAGGAGCCCGCGTGTGTGTGCCACATACATACGCGTATCTACCCAGACATCCAGACCTACGTGTCCCCCACGCACAGACTCTCCTCGGGAGGGTCCGTTTCAGGAGAGCAGGAATCGCCTTCCCGGCGCGGGCGAGGAGCACAGTTTATTCAGAGGAATCAATAGGAAAGAGCATTTGCAAATATTTAGATAAGCGCCGTGCGATTCAGCATTAAGTAATTAAAAACTGAAACTGAGAAGGGGGGGATCGGCCTACAGTGGCGTTTGCTGCTTCACCTCTCCCATCCCCCTAAGCCGCATTCTTCCCAAAACTGAGCCTGCCCGCGGAAAACAAAAATCATAATTACTCAGGCTGGCCAGGCCGCTCCGGGGCCGGGCCGCGACCGGGGCAGTTTTAGGCACTTCTTCGCCCCTTTGTTTTCCAGCGCGTCACCGGCGCGGAGCGGCGGCGGGGCAGCCCCGGGGCCCGCCCGGCACCCCCGGGCCCGCCCGCGCAGCCCC